AAGGGAATCTTTCAATGAATCCATTTCTCCTGCAAATGATAAATAGCAATCCCGTTAATGGCAACTTCACTTCGGATTTCCTCTCTTTTTCAATTCAGATCTGAATTAGAAAAAAAAACCTTAACACGGACACATGCAATTCAGTGTACTATAATATGTACAGTTGGTCGAGACCAGAGGCTCAATTTGATAAATTAAAAGTGTCCCCTTCATTAAAACGAAGTTCAACCATCTAGATTCACAACAACACGACCGGAATGTCATTGGAGCTTATCTATATTTAGGTTTCTCAACTGTTTATATTTGATAGCAGATTAAGGGACACTTCAGTGATACTTCAAGAGATTAGTAATGCGGAGGTCGAGGAAAAGGGTAAGATCACACTCATGATAAAGATCTTGTATCTCATTATTTAGCTTTCTCGGATGTATCAAAAGACAGCTCATTGGAGCTGAGGAAAAAATACTTCCACATCACCTCAAATCATGGTGTAGGCTTAGCTTACACAACCGACGGGAAAGATAAAAGAGCCTTACTTTTTCGACGTTTTCCTTTAGGCCTCATATATTCAGCTTCTGCTGAAAGACACATAAGAAAAAAATCAGCTTTTAATGTTGCTGCTCATACCCTCTACCTTTATTTATTATTATTATTTTTACATTATATTATTTTTAGAAAAAATTTTCTCATATCCTCAAACCGCAAAGAAAGCTACTGCTCTCTTTTCCCAAAGTTTAAGATATAAATAAGGTAACGTACCCTTCCAAAAGAGAATTTGAAACAAAAATAATTATTGATCAATACGGCGTCACTTTTTTGGCTCATAACAGTACAGTGGATAAAAATGAAAACACTAATATTGCGCATTTCAAATAGGCAGTTATTATTGTAATTTAATGAACGTACTGCACATTCAAGCAAATCATTTTAAAATTATTTTAAAATAATTATTACCTGCAGATGACGATGCCGCAGATGAAGATGCCGCTTCTAAAATTTTAACTTCAGAATCCTGCAAAGAACATAATGGTCATCGTCTTTAGTTGCCCTCTTTCTGCACGAAATGCGCAAGAAGCATCTACAATTGCATTGTTTCTCAATTCGTATATGGGAACTGTGATTCCTCATAGGGAATTATAAAGCATATAAGTCTTTGGATTCTTTTTGGGACTTGATTTCACTTTAACATAATTTTTTACCTTGATTAAGCATGTTGCATTATATGAAGGAATATATGTAGAGACCCGCTGTGTTACTTACATAAATTTCTACCGTTTCCTGTATTGCTTCATTTTCATACAGAAGAGTTTCATCATCGGCCCCTGAGTGACCCAAAAAAAGAAATACGTGAAGAATTATTGAAGTCACCAAATTAATTGAAAGGCCTTAAACATTGTGATAGGTCTTACATAGCTCAAATAAATTATCCATGTGACATTTTGTATGTTAAATATTTAGTAGCCTTCTTCGGAATCTTTTGCCGATATGCACATAGGTTGATGATTAGCCATCGACTGAATTCTCTTGCCTGCAATTGCTCTTGCTCTTGTCGACAATTTAAACAAAAATAATTTTTGATCAGGAAAGTGTCACTCTTTCAGCCCATTAACAGTACAGTAAATTAAAATGCAGACTGTTGTTGCATTTCAAATAAGCAATTATTATGGCTTTAGTTTTACGAACAGACTGCACTTTCGAGCAAATCATTATAAAATAATTTTTACCCGCAGATGAAGATGCTGTTGCTAAAATTTCAACTTCAGATTCCTGCAATGAACAAAGTGGTCAACGTCTTTGGTTATCACCTTCATGCATGAAATGCCCAAGCTATAATCTACAATTGTATTTTTTCTCAATCTGTGCATAGAAACTGTGATTCTCTGTTATGAAATACTATACGGCACACATATCTCTATATATATTAACAAAATTTTTTTGCCTTAATTCAAAGCATGTTGCATTTATGAGCTTTTCATTCAAATTCTGATTAATCTTGTGTTGCGAATCGGACTTGATATCAAGGATCCACTCCCTATTTAACCTCAGCAATATATATGGAGAACTGCTGTGTTACTTACATTAATTTCTGCCATTTCTTGTCCTGCTTCATTTTGATTCGAAGGAGCTTCATCGTCGGCCCCTGAGTGACAGAAAAAAGAGACACGTCAAGAACTATTGAAGTCGCCACTTCAATGGCAAGACCTTTAACATTATGATAGGTTTTGCATAGCTCACATAAATTATAAAACCATCTACCTTTTTTGTCTAAAATATCCAGTAGCCTTTGAGGAATTTTCCGTCTGCTGATGTGCACACAGGTCGATGATGAGCCATCAATCCGCATGCTCTTGCCTGTACATCCCACAGCTTTAGCTCGTATTGCGTGAGTCAAGGCAGCAGATGTTAATTTCAGTTTAGAAAACTGGAGGGCTTTTGCTAAACTTATAGCCACAGCTTCCCCACATGAACAGCCTTTTGTATTGTAATTGGCTTTAAGAAATTTCTTGATCTGAAATTGCCAAGAGAAAAACATCAGACTTGAGTGTTCTTGCTCTAATGAACCTTTATCAGTGTATTTATCTCAATTACCACTAAAGCCTGCATAACAAGCATTTCTTTTGAGGATTTTTGTCGTTTTAAATGCGCAAAAAGTGAGGCAACAAACATAAAATAAAGCCGGGAACAAATTGGAGTCATCATTGTGGCGCTGCGTCGATGGGAATATAGGAGAAACAGAATCAAACGAGTTGATGAAGTGAATAGTAATCGTCGTAAGGGGATTAAAAAGCTGACGTTTTGACAGAAATAGCTCTTCGTCAAAGCAAAAGTCTTGCAAGCTGCATACGCTGTGTGCATAATTTATTATAGTATTCGGGAAAGATTTCAGTGTCACTGAACAGTTCAGTCGTCAACTTGTATACAGTGATCACCTGCACTATATGATGTTTAGGCCACAGAGCGGAAATTGGAAATCTGAGTTTAACATCCGTAACATAAGTTCATAAAAATATAGAAAACCGGATTTATAATGCCTACAACATAACTTACATCATCTGGATGGGAAACAGCATCCAGGAACAACGTTTCAAGGGCTTCCCAAAAGTCAGCATCATCTGCGACATGGTTTCCTTGGACTGCCTCAATCCCTTCAAAACTGCCAATGAGTAGTTCTTTATATTTTGGTACCATCTGAGTTTTGAAGAATGCAAGAACTTCCTCCCAGTAAGAACCGAATAGTCCAATGTGCTGTAATATCTAAAAGATATTTCAGTTTCAGTGACGAAATCAAATCAAGTAAAGGCATTAGTAAGGCTTATTATCCTTAAAAAATAGAGCAAATAATGCGGCTCCACATGAAAATAACTGGAGTGAAAGCATGTCTAGACACGACCCAGTATCAGCTGCTGTACAATTCACCATTTTTTCTTATCCACAAGGATACTCATCCATACTGGTATAAACCCTGCTCAACAAGACTTAAATTATTTGGTAAATTAAAAAATTGAAAATTTCAAATAAAAAATGTTACAATTGTGTCTTTAATTAATAACATTAATTGTTACTTAATTGTTACCTGAAGCAAGCAAAGACAACTTATTAGTACCGGAAGCAACTACTTATTTTCATTCCGTAGCATAAATGAGAATAATACCTGAGGTCTCAAATAATAATGTTACTCGCCATATTCACATACAATGCAGTCATTCTAATTAGCTCTACAGTCTATTTCTCACCTTTCCAGTAGTAAATAGCAAAACGGAAAAATTGGCTTCACTCCTGACATCTACTACCATTTCCTCCACAACGTCTTGAATGGCGTTAAAGAGGACATCCTTGGTCATTTCTTCGTAGTCATTGTGTAGTTTCAGAATTACTGACACACTCTTGGGGAGGTCTTTCAGCAAATCCTCCAACTGAGACTTTCCTTCCAACCTTTCCTTTATTCGCTTTTTCCCAATTGTTCTCTTCCCAAATGGGATAGGAAGCATTCTAGTAAATAATCTGTATTAAGACAAACAGTAACTTTAAAGTACTGTCACCAAATAATTTTGTTCACCCTTTGGAGTTTTTATGCCATGCATTAATTAACCTGCCGACTTATGATTCTCAGAAGCATGTATTGTTGTCTGTCAATTCCTACACGTTCTGTACTTTTAAAAGATGTTTCAGAACACCAACTTTAATTTGTAAATAATACTACAACCTACATCATTTCGAAAAAAGTCAATGAACACGGTTTGACTTGCAACAACTGTAAGTTGTGATTGCCATCGTTTCTGATGGCTTTAGTTTTATCTGTAAAGTTTTCAGAAGAATGATATGATATTCTCAACTTTACTCCTTTACTACAATAATGTTTGTGTTCTTTCTACGGTTAAAATTGATGAACAAACCTGAACTTTCCAAACAGCAAAATGTTCCTTACCTTCCAAAATCCTCCTCTCCCATTTTTAGTTTTTTGAACCCTTTGATCAGCTTGGAATAGTTGACCGATATTACCGGCACAGTACTGCCAACAGAGTCCTTTGACATTGTGACTTTTTTCGCCTGCATGAAGTAATACAGGTTATAAATGTCTGTTCAATGCTTGCTAATATGTTGTAATGTCAACATCTTAATAACATCATACATGTTAGTTAACCTCATGTTAACAAGGACAACAAATCCTGGACAATTACATAGTTTAGATCGTATTCAAAACATCAATTTTTTTCCTTTTGAATAATAGCATTTACCCTTTTTAATAACATATCTAACTCCGAGGACTGGACTTGGTTGAGCTGGCGGTACAAATAACTTGGGACCAAAAAATTTTAAGATTCATTAATTTCAAGAATTTTGATAAAATTCACCAGAAGTGTGACTTGTACGCAATCCAATTATCACTGTAAAAAGAAGGTAGCATATAAAAGAAAGTAAGAATATTTTTCCCATGGACATGTATGTATATATATAAATATATATATATATATATATATACATAGGCCTTTCAGTTACCTTGTTATAAAGGAGAACCGTCAATTTCTCCAACACGACAAGACTGTCAATGTCATCCCACCACAATGGAATAGTCCTATTGACGAGACTCTCAAGTAGCCTCGCCTCAGAGCCAGCTGTGAAATAAACATAGCATTTAATGTAAGAATGACACTAATACATTTACAGTGTAGCAATTTGGAAACATTCCTGGAAAATTTCCACTTGAGATGAGTACAGCCCCAAACAAATACAGGTTATCATAACTGTAACTTGTGGTAGTAACAGAATGTGTATTGGAGACACACTCTGCAGTCTTTAGTTAAATTTATTTACCTCCTATACATTCCCGTTGATTGAACAATGCCATTGCACACTCAACAGCAGTGGATTTCCCGGACACAGGGTCACCAACGGCAAGTGTTGGGGGAACACCACCAACTAATTTGGTAAGTTGTTGGTAGTGAAAAGCCATAGCTGTTCCACCAAGGACAAGTAAGACAGCTGAAATGTCCCCGCCGTAAAATGATTCCAGATTGGAAATCACCTGCCTTAAGCTTTCTCCATTGTCTAAATTACCTGCAATTTAACCAGAGGTTCAATATGCATTGCTAAAAATGCATTTATGGGATCCACATAGAAAAAAAGTGGATTTCCCATGGTATTCTATCAAAGGAATACGTGAATGAAAGAGTGCATAAAATTACTGTCACATAAAATACGCAAAATTACTGCATGTATAATAACCAGCAGGGAGGTCTGTATTGGTAAAGACATAAAAAAGCTGTTAAAGATCTGAGGATCAAGTCCCGTGGAAGTAAAGTCTTGCGACAAAATGACATTTGTTCATGCATTTGTAGAGTTCTTATTATTTCGTCAATTTATGAATCGGAGTTATGAAAAATGGATAAAAATGCAAGCAATTCCTACCACGATAATCATACGTGCTGCAACAATCACCATTGACTGCATACTTTGAATCTGTTTCCTTTAGACGTATTATGTTGTCTCCACTTAGCTGAAGCTGCATGTCCTTACTAAAAACCCAAACTGGTGGGTTTGATTTGGGTTGCAGTCCAAAAACCTTCAAGTTAAGAAAAAAATTATATATTAAGTATTAGCATCTCACGACACAGTTCTTGCTCTATCAGGTTATAACTGCACGCGTATAAACACTAAGAGTAACCATTGTAGTAAGCCAGCGACAACATGTAACGCATCACAACACGGCATTTGCATTCGAGAAAAAAAAACTCAGAAATTTAAAACGCTGTTTTATCAAAATGAAAAAAGCCACACCACTAAAGATGTATTGATGTATTGAGTGGTTTACTTCTAGGTTATTTGCAACCTGGTCTTCCTTAAGATTTTTCGTGGTTTTTCGAATTTCATGACGTCAAGGTGAGAACTGCCAAATGACTATGCTTAAATAATAACAAGATAGAATGACTCCCTTTGTTCGAGCCCCTTCATTTAGAAGTTTATCATAACATGTAGCCTTTCTTAGAGAGCGTGGCCGATTGGTAGCGAACCAAACATAATTTAGCTTAGTACGCTTGGAAACACTTGAGAATTACTGACTGAATTTTGAACATTTCTTTACCAATCTCATTTTAACACGTGGAATTTTTTTCCCTTACTTGTTTTTCCGTTTTACTCTTAGTAGTAGCTCGTTATTGCGTTACACTCGATAGAAGCCCTTCAAAACGTTTGGGAAAATTTGGAAGTAAGTTCACTTTAAAAGCGCAAAATTAATAGCACAAAACTTCCGATAAGATTCTTTTTCGCAAAAAATATGCCGTGTTAGTTTTGAAGCTTTCATGTTCTGAATGGCCTTTCTCCTTTTACTCCGACTGCATGTACACTAACTACGCTGGCTAAGAAATTTCACAATTTTCTCACCCTCACTCAGTATTTTTACCGTGCAAAAACTGCAAAAAGCAACATTACAGCCGACTAACTTATCGAATTTTGACCTATATTAGACATGAGATTACTTTCGCACTCAAGATATGGGTAGTCTTTAAAGATTTTTCGACGTCAGGTTATTTTTATGCAAATGAGGGGCGGGGTATTCTTCAGTCAAACCGGTAACGCCCAGTTCGCTAATTAAACATCTGAAACTGACTAATTTCTCTCTCGTTTCATAACGACCTTATTGATAACGAGGTCTTTAAAAATGCGTATCTCTTTTAGCCCGAAACTTGTTGAGAAAGGAAAGAAATTCTTGAAAGTAAGATCTGCTTCGTCTTGACGACAGAAAATAAACAACTACGAAATTTCATGACTTGAAAACGCTTTTCTCTTAAAGATATAAAGCTTCGTATGTCACCCCCAAAGTCGTGATAAGTCTCCAGGATTTTCGCGAAACACCATCTGTTTCGCTATCTCGCGAAAAAACCGCAAATTATCAATAACCAGAGCAAGTCGGTCGGACACGTTGGCGAGCTGGCCTTTAGCGAAACGACTTAGTCACGAGATATGGATTCCCAGAGCAGGAAAAAAAAAATGCGCAACTATTTAAGAAAAATTTGTTTCTGAGGCGCATTTTTGTCCTGGCTACTCGCGTAAGAAGAGAGACCACCTTACCTTTACAGGAACCATTTTGCAGCAATCTTCCTTTCTCTCGTATTCATCGCACATGTCCTTTAGCAAAGCAGGAAGAAAGTCCTTTGTATTACTTATCCAAAGGCGTGTGGAGTCCAGCTTATTTTGGATGGTATACTGGTCACTCATATCTCGTCTGGTCAGAAACACACTGTTCAGCCTGAAAGGTATTACAATCGCGATGCATGTTACAAAAGAAGACTCAAATGACTGAATGAGCTATGTCACGATGCGTTTGCTGTTCTATAGTTCCCCTTCACGTTTACTTCAAAGACCTATCTGTAGTAGATTCTGGGTAAAAATAAAACTGAGTGAAAGAAGTATAAAACGTAGGGCTAACATTTTCAGGTTGTAATCCGTCACTATCCATACCTTTCGTAACAACAGAAGACATTAAACAGTCTCAGTGCAGTAATATACTCTCAAGTAAACGAACTGTATAATTATTTTTAGGTTCCCACTGACTACTTTCAACCGAACATCTTTTAGCATTCTAAATTATGATCAGACATCATGACATGACCCCGTAAGTACTCATGGGCTACATGTTAAAAATATTATTAACTGGGTATATTCACTGAACTTACCATCCATCTGCCTCTGAGTTTCTATTGTTTTTTGGTTTCGCTCTTAGCATGAAGCCAACAACATCTCCATCTTCTTCGACGACTCCTTCACACCTCAAAATGAAATTGCTGACCGTGGTAAATTTTTCATTTTTAAAATAGCCATACTCTCCGTCCTGTTCGACTATTCTAGCTCTATCTATTTCTGCGGGCCGTTTTTTTTCCTTAGAAGTACCGGAGGAAGAAGAAGATTGACCATTGTCTGCCATAATTGAGAATTACCGAGAAACCAACTGAACTTCAAGCCGACTGGTAAGAAAATGACCAAAGCAAAGCTTGCCTAAAACAATGGTCTTTTATATCATCAATTTGCCAGTTAAACACTCGATTGCTAGCTTTTTTGACAGCGTTCCGACGGAAATGGTTATATGTGGCATTACAGTACCGGACATAACGCCCGAAAAAAAACCACGAAAAAGACATGTTCCTCTTTAGAAGACCGCACGCCATTTATACCTGGTGATTTCACAAGCTATTGGTGGGTTAGCGGCGTGACACGTAACAAAGGAAACATCGATATTGTACCCTCGATATTTAACAGGTAATTCAAGCTCGTCTGGCCCGTATCAAAAATTTCAAACAAAACAATCAAAGTAAGTCACAGTAACAGAAAACTTTCGTTTTAGTTGGAAAAACTGTGCCAGATACCATTTAGTTTTCTAGACGTCCTCGCTACAGTAAAAAGGCGTAAAAGTTTGCTTTCACTTCACTTCATTTTATTTACAAATAAATAATTTAAGAAACATAAGATCATAGTAGCCCACAGTTAGCTATTCTAGGCGGGCCACTTGAAGTCTACTTGCCCTGATTTATTACAAAGTGGGACGGTATGTTATAACAAAGTGCGACAATTTTTTTTCTCACAAAGTGGGACGGTGTGTTATTACAAAGCGGGGCAGCTTTTTTATTACAAAGTGCGACAGTTTTTTTTTATTACAAAGTGCGACGGTATGCTTTTACAAAGTGCGATGGTATGTTATTACAAAGTGCGACAGCTTTTTTTATTACAGAGTGCGATAGCTTTTTTTATTACAAAGTGCGACCTTTTTTATTTATTACATAGTCTGACGGTATGTTATTACAAAGTGCGACAATTTTTTTAATTACAAAGTGCGAGAAGTGTTTGTAGTATCACCTGGGATAATTGCCACGTACAATAGGCCATTTCACGGTTGTGTACAAGCCTTTTATTTGGAGTGAGGCTACTGGTCTCCATCACAACAAGGTCACTTTCATCTAGTTGGCATGATAACAGAGTAATTTACATTTAAGGTTACTTCCCACCTTCGCAAGTCTCCTCCGGGAAAAAAAATCATCATACGCACGCGTTACTCTAAAAGCTTAGCAAACTATACATCAGCCGAAGAAAGCTTAATAAATACAGTTTACGACAAAATATAATTCAAGCGTGTTTTCCTTTCAGGAGGCGTTAGGACCCGATAAGGCGTGAAACGACCAAGGGTTCTTCTATTGAATATATCGGGTGCCGGATGTCGCAGCACAAGCAAAATGACCGCACAGTCTTATTCACAAGGCACCAATCAAAAAAAAAAGTGTCAGGCTTTTTCGATATTCTGATTGCTTGTCTACATATCGGCATCTAAAGTAGCTAAAAATATGCGAGGCGTGATGCGGAAATGAACGCCACGGGACAAATATTTCAAATGTCACTATTTCGTTTTTCATTATTCCTGGAATGTTTTTAGCGAAGTTTGATGAAAATCGGTCAAATCTAAATACAAAGTAGATGTATTCCTCCAAAAATCAAATGTAAGATGTTAGCTCATAAAGGTTCATAAACAACTCGTGCTATGTCAGAAGATTATCTCGCCTCCGAAATCTGCAAACCAATGAGACAACGGGACCTCCTGGCATCACTGACGATGGATCAAAATTTCTTGACAACCATGCACGCAACTGTAAAATTGAATAATTTCGTCAAGGAGGTCGATTGAGTCGATGACTAAAAGAAAAAAAAGAGTAAGAAAATAGAAAGATTCCCCAGCCCATTATAATGATCTTAAAAATTAGGTATGTAAACTTAAACGTTTTCAACAGAAAGAAGATCTCAATCTTGTATCCAGGGTCTTTCCAGGGATGAGAAGAAGTGAGACCCAAGGAACGAGGTTAGGTTGATATTCGGTTTCTGGCAATTATCAACGTCAAAATTCCACCAATAGCTTTAGCGGTGAACGAGGGACGACCATCGCGGAAACATCTTTCGTTATCTCTTAAATGAAATATGTAAACGTTCGTCTGCCTCCGAGTTTAAGAACCCTCACAATTTGCCACATCTCAATCGAATGCGACTATGAATTCCGGCTGCATTCCCGTATTTCTTGTGATCGCGATGTTGTCCTGTATTCAAGGCATTCTACTTGGAAAAGAGGAGGAAGTTTTATTAAGGCAATTAATACAAGAGTTCATGAACTCACCAAAGGATGGACGCTTTGATCGAGTCATTGAAATACCATACGCGTCTGCAAAGCTGATACCCAAAGTATTTTTGTGGTGCCCCATGAGGCATAATGACATAACTATTTTTTGTCCTCATCATGGTTGTCCTTTGAGAGCCGCAGGGTGGACAGATAAACTGGATGATTCGCGTACAGATCCGAGAAACCCGCGGCTCATTTACGACCTAAATGGAAATCTTATCCTCGTCCAGGCATATTACGAGTGCAGCCTCTTATTGTCTGGGAATGAGAAGCCGCGTCACCGATACCTCTCAGCCTCTGCTGAGGTAATGTCACAATTGCCTCCACACATCGTAAGATTATTCCCCATTATTTTGCAGCAGCGGTGTGGAGTTACATTTCGCTTGTATGATTACGTAATCACAGGCATATACCAAGGACAAAATTTTTTGGAGTTGTCAGAGGGCATAGCGGCAATGAATTATCGCGCATTAATGAGAAACAATCCTGAAAACCCCAAATTTGATAATGATGTTTTTTGCGCGTACCCAGGAAATGATAAATTGATGGATTTATTCTTGGAGCAATTTCAAATCACGAAGGACCTATATGAAAGTGACATGAAAAAACGAGTGGCAAAAGTTCTATCTTGTGACCATACCTTTAAAACCAGCAAACACGTTGGTGTTACTCGAGAGGATGATGGTAAATTTGTATGCCAATTTCAAAATGTCTTTCTTGGGTTAAATGAGAACGGAGAGGTTTTGACCTGGCGATTCACCAAATCGACTGCGTATTCTGAGATTGACGATTTAATCAAAGAACTAAAAACAAGATTCGACAGGGAAGGAGTTCCCTTGGAAATGATAATAGTGGACGACTGTTGTCATGTAAGAAATCTATACGAACGCATCTTTCCAGGAGTAAAAATTAGATTGGACTTGTTTCATGCATGCTCAAGGATAGTTCAAACTATTTCCAAAAAAGACAGTTACGGTAAGCAGTTTTCCTCTGAATTGTCTCTCATTTTACGTCGAAATGGAGACCTTGGTACAGAAAGGACAACGAGTACGCCTGGCTCAGATGAGATCGAGGCAAACCTAGAACGGTTATTGTTTTCTTGGAAGGATCGTTTGTCTAAGGAAACTCTCCATCAATTAGAATGTCTTCGCAAACACATACAAAAGGGTTGTCTTTCGGACATACCTCCTGGGTGTGGAACAGAAAAGAATGAACGTCTACACAGACATATAAATAGATCGCTCCTCTGTGGTGTCTCTAAGATTGGACCAGAACTCGCGATAGCTGTAATGAGTTGTGCATTGTTTGCCTGGAATTGCAAACGACAAATAAACAGATTGACCTCGAGAGCTAAGCCTGTTATGCCAGTTGAAATAATTAGAGAAGGTAACCTTTCATCGCCACAACAACACATGAAGCAATTTGAAATTTCTCATGCAGAGGACTTCATGAGCACACGGAGTAAAGTAAATTTTCCGGGACTCGTAGAGCGACTTAAAACCCGGAGTATCGTAGATTATATCATCCAAAGAGTTCTACATCTCCAAGATTTTATAGACGCCTTTACGGAAAGATGTAAAAACAAAACGGTAGATATCCTGGCTTTCCTTTGGTCCACCAGTTTAAAAACTGAAAAGTTTATAGAAGTAGAGAAAAAGATGAATTCTTTGGAATTAGACTTAACTGCTCAACACATGGACAATTTGATAAGGAATCTTTCGGGTTTTAACCTTGAAGTTGACAAGATCGAAAGAGATGGGAACTGTTTTTTCAGAGCAGTTGCCTCACAGCTCAATAGACACCTGAGGGAATACAAGGAACAAATCGAAGGGCATTGCACTTCCCTTGGATTAGGAATTAGTGAAGCCTTCGACACACGTAGACTTAGGGAGCTGTTTGTGAAAGAAGTCTCTGATAACATTGAAGAGTACAGAGATTGGATGACAACTGGCGTTAATGGGTTAGAGGAAGTTTACAAATTTAGCCAAGACGGATTTTTCGCAAATGAAGTTGGTGATTTATGCGCGAGAGCAACAGCTAAAGTCTTGAAAATTCCAATTGTGATTATTACCGCTCTCCCTTCAACACCTACGGTGCCATTCCTACCACACGAATTCCTTACCACCACACCCATCTACATTGCATATGATCATTCTGGGCCAGGCCACTACGATGCCACAAAAGGTACTCGATAATTGTTCAATAACCTTAGGTTAAATTAGCAGTTATAAATTCTGATAATGCTACATACCTCCTCATATATCGAGGTTTGAACTGAGAATTTTTCGAGATCCTCCCGATGTCTTGGCACCCTTATAAGGTTGGAGTCTTGTACTAATACTAAGTTGTAAATGCTTACGTTAATAAAACTGAGCCGGAAATCATTTAATGGAGAAAATGATGTTTTCTTCATTTGTGCTGAAACGAATTCTGTAAATCGAGGTTATTTCAAATATAAGCAATAACTATTTACCGACGTGTCGGTGGCTAATAGTAGACATTTAACGAGCCGCGAAGCAGCTTGGCAAATATTCACTAATAGCCACGACACTGAGGCGAATAGCTGTTTTTAGTACACACTAAATCAGTGAGATAATATGGCACAAAAAGATGATTTTAATAATCAATTTATTCCTGTACGTGCGGCAGCGTGAAACTCGCGAGTTTCTCGGAGGTAAATAGCAAAGGATATTCAGAGTTTGAGTAGCCAGTCAGAGCACACCTTCAACGCTGTCCACTGCTTTAGTATATACTAATGACCTTTAACTTGTCGAAACCTTGTCGAAAACCATTGCATTAATTCTTGATATGGTTTCATCGTTTCAGAAGTTTCAAGTGAGAATGACTGTGACGAACAAGCGAAGGAAACAAGATGCACTTGCGGTAAAAACAAGAAAAATAAGTCAGTTTCAGACATTTTTTCTGTGTTTCTGGTAAATGCCCGTGCCACAAAGTGAACCACTCTTGTACCCGCTCGTGTAGATGTTACAATTGCAAAAATACGTGCAATTCCAATGAAGTTGTGAAGGTAACAAAGAGTCTGAAGAGAGGCTGTAGGTGCGGAGTTGGACAAAAGAGCAAAGGGGACGGAGAACCAAATGCAAGTCACAAGTCGTGTCAAGACAGTCTCCGCAAGTCGAAGTGTCCGTGTGTAGCGGGTGGCATAGGATGCACCGAAGTCTGCAGATGCTTTAATTGTGGAAACATTGTTCAAGCTCGAGCTGACCCGGGAAAATCCCCAAAACGAAAGAAGGAAATAGGGCGACCGTCTCTCCATATAAGAGGAAAAAGGGATCAAAGTTCATGATAAGTCAAAATGCAGAGGTGGATTGTGGACCATGGAGAAACATTGAAACGCTTTGTTTGATGGTTTGCCGGGACGTGATGCTAAGTCAAGGACTTTCCATAAATTCAAAAAATTTGCGTGATTTGTATGATTTCGTGGCTAAGTCTCCTGCTGTTATGGAAATGTCTTTAAACATAGCTGCGAAGTCTACTGCACAAATTGCGGCTAAAATAGCGCATCTAAGAGGCATTGATTTGTAAAATACACATAAGGTAGGGCTATCCTGTCCAGTGAAAGTTTTGAAGGCTTCACTTCTGCTACCTTTTAATTCCGCTCTTAATGATAAAAGAATGTTCTTCAAAAGTTCAAAAGTTACCCGTTAGATCTCATGTCCAATCAGACTTTTGAGCTTTCTCTTTAATGGATGAAAAACGCGAGAAAAGATGACTAGTGATTCACGATTTCTTATTCACACTGTATTAGGCCACAGAGAAATTACTAAGTAAATACAGCTTTGTGTCAAAACTGAGTGATTACCTAGATTTTGTACGACTATTTTTGTTCTTTTGTATCTTGTTATTATAACAAAAGATTCACGGTGTGCATTTCATGTTTATGTTGGAAAAGGTGTGACTAATCGTACGCGAACTCGTTCATATTGGATTGCTGCAGAATAAGTACAACTTGTTACATGTTTAACTGACCACGATAGTTTTTTTAATTACTCGTATACCAATGATAGTTCTGCATTCCCTCATTGACGGCATTCTCTCTTTCACTCTTTGTAAAAGTGTGTTATCAAAGAAATAAACACGTGATAAAGGCAATTTGTGAAATTCGAAAGAACAGGTACGTAGTTTCACAAACTTTATTTCTCACGGCCATAGTAGACTAAGCAACTCCTTTAATTTAAAAACACCAATCTGTGAAACGAGCCCCTTTCAGGCCTCCTACTTAAATGGCATTGTGAAACTTTGGAATTACTCTTGTTCTATTGCTCCTTCTTCTAGTTTTTCGAGTCCGCTCTCCTTCCAGCTTTTCGTCAAACAAACACTTTTTGACTGCC